TTATTTTATTATTTTCTGATTTTCACAATTTTCTTAAGATTTGCTTAGAATTAGAAATCAAAGTTATATGCTACCTTAATGCAATCATAATTTTCAGATGCTTTCACAAATTGTTACTAACAATAGTGACCACTAGTGTACAAATTGTCAGTAGGCAAAATTAAAAGAATTAGTGTATAAATCAACAGTCTACAATAGTTACTGTGATGAAGAAATAGAATTTGAAATTTCTGAAGAACTTCCTAGCAAAAAAAAACTTTCATTAGAAAGCACTTCAACCAATAATACTCTCCTATCTTTTAATTTAATCACACAAATGGAAAGAACTAAATTGCGTAATGAAATTAGATGTGCTTTACTTGCTTCAATTCTCATGAAAGACAGTATTTTTAAGATATCAGTAATGGCAAACTGACCTGTTGTGTCTGATGATGCTGTGCATAAGGAGTCTGTATTGGTGAACCCCAACTAACAGTTGAAGATGAATCTGGAGGGCCAATGCGAGGAAACCTCTTACTGTATGGTATGTAAGAATCTCCATCCTAAAATACAAAGAGAACAAGATTATTTGTACTTATTTCATAGTCAAAATAAATCTTTTGACTTGACAAACTTCTGCAAACTTTTCAGATAATGCTAACTCATGATTACCTCTTCATCTGAAGATCCCAGCTTGCCCAAATCAAGGCATGGCACCCTGCAGGAAGTTAAAAGATGGTTTTAGTAATTTTTTAATAGTCTCTTGCTTTCAATTGCAGTACAAGGGAGCCCTCTGATAATGAAGTGCTTTTCCCCTTCACAAAAATATCTTCACTATAAACAGTTTCACTATAATTGGAGAGAGCCTACCTGGCAAAAGTCCCTACCAACCCCCTTCGTTTCACCTCAGGAAGTGGTAACAGAGCCTTTCTTCATCCCCAGTTGCAGAGGACACTGGCAGCTGTAAAGGGCCCCTGGAAGGCCCTATCTTCACTTCCAGCCTCAGATAGTTCTATCAAGACCATCCTGGCTCCTCTTCACTCCCCTCTAGGAGCAGCTGCAGCAAGATCAGAAGCCAGGGATTTCTCATTACCCCTCTACCACAACAGTATTGTGGCAAATTCTTTCCTCTCCATAATCAGCCAGAAGAGAGGCAATGGGGAAGTAAAAAATAATCCTTTTTGAATACAGCTCTTCAAAACTAATTGGAGGGAATTAGCACAGTCCCAACTATACTACAATTAAATACCAATAGTGACTCTTCATTCAGCTTAAAGAAATTAAAAAAGTCAATTGAAATACATTAAAGCAATTCTGTACTTTTACTTCATTTTAGTCCCAATCCCACTAAGTAATGAGTGTCCTAACCACCCTCTAAAGTAAACTGGAGTTGAAGATACCCAGCACTAATGAAGATGCATTCAGCGTCTTTCTGGATTGTGTCCTTTGGGTTCAATCCAACGCCCTCTAACTTTCAGTGGGAGCTGGATCAGACCCTAGGCTATGTCTATATTGCACACCACTAGGGGTGTGCGCATATAGAGTATGGATAGTTATATGCCACAGAAAAAAAGTGAGCTGCATTCACACTTTGGTGCATAGCCACATGCATCAGTGGGGGATGCAGTGGGGAAAGGCTCCCGCTGTCACACCCTGCCAGAGCTTTCCCCCACAGCTCCCTGCAGCAGGGAAAGACTGGCAGCAGGGAGGCAGCAAGACAAAAACAATGGGAGGGGGAGGGTCATGTTCTGAGCTGTGTAGAGTACATATTCTAAGGATTCACGGGGATCTTTACTCCACTTAGCAGTGCCTCACCACATACACTACTATTTACACCCATGCTAGCGGGACTTGCAATGTATGTATCCTACAGGCCACCGCAAAGAGAGTGCAGCTTAGACGTACTCTAAAAGGGGAGTTATACTGTAACTAAATTCCCCTGTGTACGGCTGCTGGTATTTAACTCTATTTTAGCAAAACAGAGTGTTGGCTAATTAAAGGCTTGATTAAATTGTCTATATTACCAATACAGTACAAAACTACCAGTCACACTAAGACTTGGAATGTGCACTTAAAAACAGTACGTGTGAAAGATGCCAGATTTCAGTTTCAAATACTATAAGCCTTCTAACAACAACCCTAGTATAGTCTGAGCATCAGTAGTACATATTTTCTCTCACTTTGCTACCAACATTTTTTAAACTCTGTTATAACAGTCTCTTCTAGAACTGGAAGACATGCTGACTCTCCAGGCCCATCCAGTCAGTGGAGAATGACTGAATACACACAGAGATTGAACTATCCCTTTATTCAGCCATAGACATTCCAAGGTCATGTTTGATACATACTGGCAGAATCTTATGGAGAGCTAAAATGACCATAAAGATTTTTTAAAATAAGGCAGTTCAGTCTCAAATATGGCACTGATAATAGATGATGTTAATACACCTATTCCCAGGCCTCAGAATCCCCAATTTTGGAAGTACTATACAAAGCAGATTTCAAATCACTTTTTAAAATACTCTCATATGACAATTTCTCTGTATTTACAATGAAATATCTGTAAGGAGCAGCAATTCTTCTAATAGACTCATAGACTTTAAGGTCAGAAGGGACCATTATGATCATCTGGTCTGACCCCCTGCATGCTGCAGGCCACAAAACCGTCCCTACCCTTCCCTTGACTCAGCTGATGAAGTCCCCAAATCCTGTGTCTTGGTGACTTCAATTTGCAGAGAACCCTCCTGCTAGAGATCCCTGCCCCATGCTGCGGAGGAAGGCGAAAAACCTCCAGGGCCTCAGCCAATCTACCCGGGAGGAAAATTCCTTCCCGATCCCAAATATGGCGATCAGTAAGACCCCGAGCATGTAGGTAAGAGTCTCCAGCCTGACCCTTGTTAGCCATTATACTATTTACCTGCTATTGCTCAGTATTCCTCAGCTAATATGTTTTACCATTAAACCATTCCCTCCATAAACTTATCTAATTTAATCTTAAAAACAAGAAG